ATTACGGAACATTCTTAGCATTAATCCTATGCTCTCGCTTCCAGATTCTCGATTGATATTGTACGCCCCCTATCGGCGGCTTTTCTACAATGCCATCGATCGGCTGATAACAATATGGATAGATAAAATGAAATGCCAGGTATGAAAAACACTAGTGTGCAAAATTAAGAGAATCTGCTTATTAATTCGAATTTCTGAAATTAGGAGACAGATTTTAATGAAATTTGGTATGAATATGCATTTATAAAAGAGGAAGAGATGAACAGTTCAAAACGCATTTTGTGTAAGCATCGTTAAAGTTCATTCTGCAGGAATTACCAAAATTCAGTTTGTGATACTGAACTCAAAATGGGTCTAATATGGGGTATAATTCACTCTAACAGTCCGACATTGTCGAGTAGCTTGACGTCATAGTGGGCAATTTAGGAATCTTTGTGGCAATGTATCCCACTCTTACGGTAAGGCAATTTTCAATTCCGGGATGATTCTCGGAGGCGGATGGGGCCAGATGAAATTATTCTCCTAAGAGCGTTCCTATGGAGGTAGGAAGTAAGAAGGAGAGGCCATAACAGGGTTTCCCCACAACACTGCTTTAACGTACTGGCGACCCCTTCGTAGTGACCAAAGAATTCAGTGACTTACCATTAAAATCAATGGATTTTGACACGATCGCATGTAAATATTTTGTAATTACATCTTAGATATACAAATAAATGCACATATCTTCTTTTTCTACAATATTTCAGTGTCCTAAGTATGTGATAAGAATAAATTTTTAAACAACATTTCGTTCTGACCGGAATTAAATGCTATACTTTTCACAGAACAGTTTGCTCAGAACAGTTTAATTTAAATGAAATATTTTTACAAGATTTTGTTAATTACATTAGGGAAAAATAAGGTAATTCGATTTTATTCGGTTAAGGAATACAAAAATTAAGATCAAAGTTTATTGTATTATTAATATTAAAATTATGCACTATTTCTTTTCAATTTATGCAGCTACTTCCTAAATTTTTCTTAAATATGACATGATTTTTTAGCTTCTAAGGCATCTTTTAAATAAAAAATATCTAAGTGAATTTATAATTAATGCTTTGGTACATTTCAAATTAGAGCACCTTTTATTTTAATCGTGAAATACTTTAAATATTGGTGCTCATTTCTATTCTCAGAATTCATTTTCCTTCCTCGGAATATTTCTGAAAGGGAATAAAAAAAAGGATTTTTATAAATATTATTTAAAACCTGTAATTGAGTTATTAAAAATGTAAGGGAATAATTCTTTTAATTATACTTAAATTTTTACCCTTAATTTCAACAACACATGTTCTAAAACTCTTCTTTACTACTTGCTTAAGTACGCATCTCATAGGATTTGCTTTACAATACCTTTTAACAAATTCCTTTCCAGTACGAACACTTCCAGCTTAAATAGTTTTATAAACATATTTGTCAAGAGGATTTCATTTATGTTTATAATTCAGTGTTAAGGTTATTATATAATTAGATAATATTTATAATCATTATAAATTTAGATACATTTAATAATTCGATTTCTTCGCAGTAACTTTCACAAGAGTTTTTGAATGAATAAATCCTTCATTTCAGATGCATTTTTAAATAATTTAAGAAATATTTTCGTGTTTTGTTAAAGGCAGATACATGGGTTTTGCAAGCATATGCATAAATATCATGCATATTTCATATTTTTCATTTTCGGCATGTGCAAATCGTTAATTTTTGTGCATTCACTATGCGTTCGAAACATAAAATAAAAAAAGCGAATACCCTATCAAGGGTATCGAAAGACGTATAAAATTTTAAAAGTACCATAAGGTATTTTTAATTTTCTAAGTATAACCTTTTTTCTAAAATGTAAGTTCAACAGCTTATAATTTTATAAAACAAATTTATAATCAAAATCGCTGTTGTTAGTTATCGAAAAATAACCAAAATTTGTCGTAAATGTCATTATACCATACAAATTCCACACACAGTGAATATATACATCACACAATGAATGTTTCTTTTATGCGGAAGTGTCCCTTTTTTCGACTTATACAAAAGCTTCGTGTGTTGAAATACTCTCAGAGCGCTAGGAAGCTTCTGAATGTAAATAAAAAACACCCCATCTGGAGACCGAAGCTTCGGAGCAATGCTTCACTCCTTACTTTCTCACCTCCATGAGAGCTCCAGACATGCTCTATGTGGTTAAGGTTAAGAGATCTGGCTAGCTATTTCACACAGCGAATATACTCACTTTTCAGGTAATCATCGAGCAGCTGACCCCTATGTGGACGAGCTTTGGTGTCCATTAACATAAACCCAGGACCAACGTCGCCTCTGAAAACTCGAACATAGGGCTCTAAGATCTCCTCTCTATACCTCGTAGCAGTTATTGAGCCTTTGTGCAGGGGTGTGAATGCAACATGCTTGCCCAAACAATTACACCTTCATCACAGTAATGAACCTTATCCCTGATAAGGGAGGGATGGTAGGTTCTTTCCAGGTTCTTTCCAGATAGAGTTACGCTGAGAATCAATGTTTAGCTTGAATCCCGAGTCATTTGTAAAACGCACAGTGCTCCTCTCAAATCTGAAGACTGATATCTTCTTGTTTGCCGATTTCATATCATTAATTACGACCAGTCAACTACACTCACTTGATGTGTCTATTAGCACACCGTTTAAAGACAGAATTCTCTTGTGAAGTATGATAAAATAGAGAAGGTCATCTTTGCAACTATACCACAGTTTAGTTTTCAGTCTTGGAAAGAGATATCTCTGAAGACTATTAAAAATGTCTTTTTTGAAAGGCGGCATTGCTAATGACTTCAATGGCACTAAGGATCATATGTTCTGATGAAGCACTGAATACGAGAATTCAAATTCTGAAAATTAAGCTGTTAAGATTTTTTGACATACATATTATAAATTGTTTTATTTTTTTAATTTTTCAATTTTAAAATCTTACTGCACTTCAATTCGAAGGTAGCTATTTCTTATCATGCTTTCTAGTTTCCCAATTTTAAAACATTGCTTCGGCTAAAATTTGCAGTAATACGGTATTTATAACACATCTTTCCCATAGTGGAAGCTAATGCTTTGCTCCACAGTGTAGCTAATGCATTTTAGATTGCAAAATGGTAAGCGACTTAAACCGAAATGCATATGAAGTTTTAGGCATTAATATAGACTCTTTATATCTGCACAGCTTATTAATAGAGGTTTGATGCATGTATAAAGGTATAGAAATAATTTCTACACACATGGTTATCAAAGAAAACGGATCTGTCTTCTATGGAGACAAATTCTCATCTGTCTCCCAAATCTAAATTCGTTATTTGAAAATAATGCCAGATACTGATTAAATCTCATCAGTTATTATAATTAAATCAAGCGTTAAATTTTGTGTCTACAATATTTATAAATAATTTTAGTTTTTCACCATCTTCATTAAAATTATTTTAAAACTGTACCTCGTTTAAATTAAAACTGTACCTCGTTTTTGCATACTTTCATCAAAATGTACATAACTGAGTTTCGATGCTTCCTATTTAAAGCAAGAGGACTGCCAGCGGCTGAGCGACAAAACCACTGATCTTCTTTAGCTCAATCTGTGTTTAGATTCCTAGGAACCGAAGGACTGCATAAAGGTGTCGAGCCTTTTCCCTTCTGTAAGTTTCCTCCAGTTTATTCAAACCATCAATCTAGGAAGGCATTCCTTACCTTAATCAGATAGACTTCGACTGAATCATAAATCAACCTACTTAAAGTGGCCGCCACGTAAGTATTTGGTGATATTTTAATTCTGCAGGTTAGGGAATGGACGATTAAATTTGCCCCTGTGAACGACTAAACGCGACGGTCACTTTAACAGTAACGTACTAAAAGAAGTCTTACTGGATAACCCAAATATTTTACACCTGAATTATAAAGTATTTTATCCTCCTTTCCTCATGCCTTCGTGGTGAAATTAGAAGCATTCTCAAAGCGTATTTGAGAGGTGTGGAGTTCGGGTTCTGCTAGCGCATTGCACATTTTTCACCCCTCCTGCTTCATAAAACTCTAAAGACTGTCTATATAGTAATTTTCTATATACTTGATCTAACGTTTGGTGCATTCTCTACTCATATTTTATATTCTTCTCTCATATGAAAAGCACATGCAACGGCGATTTTTTTTAAATTATGTAAACATATATTCCTTTCATTTCATCTCAAATTGTAAAAAAGGATTATTTATCTAAAAGAAAAATATTTAATTCTGATTCATCTAAAAGATTATTTATTTCTGAATCTAAAAATTTGGAAATAATAAAGCTAACTAAATAAATAAATGAAAATAAATATCAAAGATTTTTTTTTCAACTATCGGGACCAGACTCAAAAATGCATGCATGTATGCATGTATGCGTGCATATGTGTGTGTGTATAAGCATACATATATGTACGTACATACATGCATTTGCATGGAATAACACATACATACAAACATGCATGCATACATACATATTTTTGCACCCAGTCCCCGTAACAGATAAGTACCGGATCAAAAGCAAGGGCATGGATTTAGTTTCGTTTCTGAAGAACATTTATATGGTTTTTAACTAATTTAATATGTGCATTATATTTATTGATATTGAAATTAGCTTCTTTTTTACAACTCATGCACTGGTTGTTGCCAAAAGAAATTTACGGTCGCATAAGTTTGAGAACGTCATCCAGACATAATAAAATATCAGTGTTCATTTACCCACTTTCTAGATGCAAAACGATTCAATAGAATGCCAAATTCAGATATGAGTTGTTTTTTACAATAAAGAATGAATTTTTTTTTATTTTGAAACCATTATAGTGTACATTAAATTAAACCGAAAATGGAAGAACAACTATTACAGATTTTATTATAAGAAGTCGGTCATTGATATTTATTTAATGTATCGTATTTCAAACACATCTAACAAAGAATCTAAAAATAAGCTATAAATTACTAACTTTATTTTCGTTCATGTGATCGAGCAATTTTTTGAATTTTCTCAAGTCGCGATATTGTTTTTGCACTGGGGTTCAACATGCGAAGTATGGATGGAGTTTCTTCTTCTTCATACCACCGATCAGAAAAGTACACAGCCCGGAGTCGACAGTTTGCATAAATCTGTATACCCAAACATTCAACGAAATCAGTTTTGTATGCATTTTGAACGAAACGTGGGAGATCGATCTGAAGTCTGTTCCATCCATCATCTAGAGCCATTGGCATGTGGCATAATAAGGGCGTAACCTTTGTTGTAGATTGACAGTTGCTGGCACGAAATCTTCTCTTGGTATTTTTGCTGTCTAATACTTCAAACTCAATGCAGAAAGGAAGCTTTAAGTACTTAACCAAGAGTGTCAAATTAGGTAATCGTATTCCAAGGGCCTTTCTAGGATTATTGGGTATGTAAATGCATGTGGCGCAAAAGTGAACGGCAGTGATCTCGAAGACGAGTGTTTGTATATCATCATCTGTAATTCGTCTTATGCAGCCATTTCCTTTCTTGCCCCATATCATCAGAGGGTTTAGGCCGCTACCTATTAATAGAGGTATGATTTTACACTGCAATTTATTTCTAAACATTAAGCCAAATATATGTTGGTAGATTTATTGTCATAATGAAAAGGAAAGGTACTTTGTTGAGGTTTGAAACTTACTACATGCCGTTGCCAAACCAGATTCTCCCAATAATTTTTGCAAAATTTTGTAGCTTGTGTTAAAGTTTTTTCAATTTCGTGAAAAATTATATGCCAAATACATTGCACGTTCTTTCACAATCATCTTCTTTTAAAAACCTTGGTTTATATATTGCAATTGTGATCATCTGCTTATTAAGTTTTTATTTATTTTAGTAAAAGCACGTTAGCTTTAGGTAAATAACAATGATATTTTATTAATATAACGTGTGAAGAGCAACAACATTTAATTGCCTTTTATTTGTGCTCTAAAAAGAATAATCTTTCAATTTAAGTATTAGAATGCTGGATACTATATTCTCCGGACTTGTCTGGAATATTACATGCTGTAAATAAAAATGTCTGTATATTGAAATATATAATGTGTAATTGCTCTTTATTAAAAAATTTCTTTTGTGGAGCCTTTTTCTTTTGGCTTTAAAGTTAGCTAGTTTAGTAGCAAAGAATTCGGTGAATTTTCGGATCGCATCTTATACTTGACATCCACCTTCAGGATTTAACCGACATTTATTAATAGAACCGACAAGTTAACCGATCGTCGAAGTTAACCGACATTTATTAATATAGTTTTAAATGCTGATGTTTCTGGCTAAATTTTATTTTTCATGCTTACGTCTACTCTAGTTCACAAATTACACGTTGGCTTCGAAGGCTGGAATATAGAAATAAACATTTTTTCCCCACGCGCAGCGAAGAGAGAGATTTCAAAACATTCCGTTTTATATACGACCTTTGAGCTCAGCCATAAAAAATGCGGGAAATTGCTTTACTTGTTTGTTTGTCAATTATTTGCGTAACTGCAGAAGTGAATTTTTTTCCCTTTGACGGTGTGATTAGAAATGATTTTCGTAGCTTTCCCCTCCCCTGAATTACTTTCATTTAATTAGAGGATTTTTAAAACATAAATAATATAATATTGTACCTGCCTATTGAATAAGTTTTTTTTTATCTAACAAAGCCAATTATTCTATTGTTTCTATCTAAACATAAAAAATCAGCATCACTATTTATTTAATAATTCTTTCTTTTCATTTGCATTTAAATAAATACAACTTTCGTTTTTATAATGTGGGCTGCCACAACAAAAACGCTTCACTGTATCTCCTTTAACTGTATATCCTTTAACTCTGCATCTCGATACTTTCATATTGCAGAAAGTGAACTATATTAAATTATAACATAGGTTTTGTAATATTTATAATCATATCTTTCCCTATTCAGAAAATTAATATGTGTATTGTTTTCAAATGAAAAGAGTAAAAATTACTTTTCTGATAAATAGCAAATAGCACTGAAATAACATGAAAATTACTGCACGAATAATTTTTTTTTTTTTTTTAATCTGATTTTTTTTTTCTTTTAACGAAGTAAAATCGAAAATATTTTTTAATCAACGTTAATTATTTAATTTATATTTTATAGCGAAAATAATGGTATTTGAAAGTTTTTTTAAACAACGATTTTCCATATACATATAAATATAGGTACAGTAAGACCCCGCTTAACGCGGGGGATACGTTCCATCGAAGTAGAGCGTAATGCGAAACAGCGCTAAGCAAGGCTATCTTAACATGTAAATAATGGGGTTAGGGGAAGACGGGTAAAAAATGGTTAGGCATTAAATTTAATAATGTTTTTATAATAAAAATAAAATCAAACATTTATTTCTTACAAAAATAAAACAATATAAACGCAATATACTTTTAAAAAACAAATAAAATTCTCAGTCAGATCATTCAGTCTATTCTGGGTTTCCAATTTTTTGCCTTTTTGTCAAGAAGGCATTATGACAGATTGGCTTAATGGCATATTGCGTTCAATTTCGTCGTCAATCCATATAGACAGTCGTTTTTCCCATTTCCTCTTATATGTTATTTCTAGAACGGGTAATTCTAGTTGCAGAGCTTGACGTAGTTGCAGTTGCCGATGACAGTATTTTTTCTTTATTTTTAAGAATTGTCCTTATTGTTGAAGTTGCCAAAATTCAATGCAGCACTAATTTGAGATTTGACGTTCACCAGAATCTAATCTTCTAATCACTTGCATTTGAGTTTCCAGTGAAATGCTTTTTCTGGTTGCTTTCTTTTCTTGTTTTTTATTATCACCCATGATAAAAACTAAAGATCATAATTTTGTCACTGTATTAATCGTTATAGTATTATACAAATTTAAACTTACAATAATGTCAACAAATGTTTCAAATGATAAAAATGCGTCCACAAAGCAAGAAAACACAACTACACTGTTTCGGATATGTTATTTGGAAACCTAGCTAGCGCTGCGCACAATTTCGGAGAATCCCCGGGTTGAAATAAAAGAGCGCTAAACCGAAACAGCGCTAAACGAAACAGCGTTAAGCGGGGTCTTACTGTATATACATCCGGAAAGGTCTGCGTTTTTAATAATAATTATTAATAAAGCAGTACAAAAACATGAAAGAATGTCATTGAATCACATAATCATTATTTTATTCTATGACATTTTCCATCTTTCCGGTAGCTAGCATCATTTTTACTTCCTTGTACGAAGTAAAAATGAAGTATGGTAATCGCGAAAAGTTTCAGTCAGCATATTTCAACGAAAATATCCAATTTGACCGCTATCGAATCCAATTTAACGATTGTTTTGCGTGATATCTGTACGTAAGGACAGAATAAAAGGCTCTTTTCCTAAAAAAAAATTATAAAGCTGCTTCAAAATGAATTCTGAATAGAATTTTTCGTGGCGGCTGTACGAAGGCATGTAAGTACGTAAGTACGTATCTCGCATAACTCAAAAACGAGTAGCCTCAGAACGTTGAAATTTCGTAATATAGGACTGCTATAACATGTAGATGTGCACCTCGTATTTTGGTTGCAATCGGCTGCACCTAACGTATATAAATATATTTATATATATATCCACTCTGTTACCCGGCTCAGTGATCTCAATTTCTTTACTCTTATACGTTTGTAAATTGTGCATTTTTTGCTTTAAAAATGATTGAATTATGTTGTTCTTATCTTCCGCCTTTAGTAAATCTGTATGCAATATATTTAGAATTATCAACAATTTTAAAGTTGTTTAAGTGCCGCTAAGCCTGATAATTTTTTTGATGTCGCCCATTGCTTGTTTACAGCAGAATAGTGGATTTGTTGCCAATCTAAAGAAACTTAGCTTCGCAACAACAAAGATAACGCCTTCATTTATTATTGCCAATTAAATCATGCTTAATCTTTTCTGGAATTTTTTCGAGGAAATAAGTGTTTAAGATTCACTTCGTAATTTTTAATACAGATATCTTGAGTTTGTATGTATTTTTGCCTTGTTGCGAATTGAAAACTGAATTAATTGAATGAGAAATATTCAATAGTCTGTGAAAAACTGTTTCTTTTTTGTTTTATTTGCTCAATTTCTTTTGTCGCGCCAGTATCGAACTCCATGAGAGGTAAGTTTCTCTGTTACGGAATGGCAACGAGAGAGATTGTTGTTCAAAAGATGGATGATCGAACTGCGTTGTAACGATCATTTTTGAGGATGTTGCGTACTGTAAAATGAACTTATTACACTGTGCTAAATAGTATTAAAATGCTATATATTAAAAGATCTTTCATCTGATCTAAATTTTAACAAACCGCTCATTATTTTCTCTTAAACTCACAATGTTCACGACATTTCTGGCGCCCTCGGGTGGGCGTGTTTGTTGGAAACATGTCTGATGAAAGAATAGATAGGGTAAGTTGATTACCTTATACTTCCGTTTTGAAGTTATTGATTATTGTTTTACTGAAGTTTAAAATACTTTTCTTGCCTAATTTTTATCTGAATATTTTAAACTTAAGACAAAATGGAAGTGATGAAAAGAAACAAAACTGCGCAACGTTCAGCTTTTACTAAAGCATATAAAAGACTAGATGATCTTTTAAATGATGATAATGTTGATTATGAAGAAGCAGAAATGTGCTTTTATTTGTTCAAGAAAAAGGCAGAAACATTAGAATTGACGCACGGTGCTTATTTAGATACTATAACTGATGATAAAGAATTCGAAACAGAATTTGAAATAAGATTTGAAATACAGAGGACTATCGAGAGAAGGCTGTTAGGATACAGTTAAAATCGGAACGATTTCTCGATAATATTAAGAGTAAATTAAACGAAATCCAAAACTGCATCGTCAGAGAGTAGTCAGAAATTACCTGGTGATGAAAATACGTATAAAACTTTGTGCCAACGCCTACCGAAAGTAGAACTTTATAAGTTCGCAAGGTGATTTAAAAAAATTGGCTTACGTTTTGGAATCAGTTTAAAAACATACATGAAAATAATACCCCACTTAACGAATGCAGACAAATTCCATTATTTGATACAGTCAACAAAAATTAAATCAGAAGCTAGAGATATTGTAGAATCTTTTTTCCGGTGACGAACGACAATTATCCTTTGGCTATAGAAAGCCTTACTGAGAGATATGGGCGTAAAGAACTTTTAATTGATTTTTATGTTCGAGAGTTAATAAAACTTGTTTTGGATAACGCAGCGAAAAGGAAGCAGGATTCTCTGAGTAGTTTGTATAACAAACTTTCAACACAACTTAGAGCCCTGAGCAGTCTTGGTGTAACGACTGATTAGTGTGGAACAATTTTATATCCTCTTGTGGAAAGTGCTATTCCTATTCACGTAATGCGATCGTTTGAAAGACAACGAAAAATTACTAAATCTGAACGAAACATTTCGAGTCTTGATGCAATAATTGAATTTCTGAAAAGCGAAGTTCAGTCAGAAGAAAAAATAAAATTAAGCAGAGCGGATATTTTTTCTAAGTTTGATCGTAAGCACTTT